CACGCCTTCTGTTACATCACCTGGAGATAGAGCGGCGTCCTCAGAGGGCAGGTAGTCATCCTCATAGGCGGCCTCGTGCATGGCCTCCTCCCCAGGGTCGTGCAGGTCTTCAAACTCAGGCTGTGGTTCAAAGTCGGGCTCAGGTTCAAAGCCGGTTGGGGGTTCGAGCATGGGTTGAGGTTCGGATGAAAACTGGGATGAGGATGAGAACTCGGAGGACATGTGCATCTGCTGCATCTTTACCGACATGGAAGACACGGACTGGTGGTGCGAGGACATGACAGATTGTTGCTGCTGAGAGGACATGCTTGACTGTTGTGAGGCGAAAGCATATTGTTGGCCATACATGTCAGACTGCTGTTGCATACTCATGTCAGGTTGCTGTGCAGAGAGGGAGGACTGATGTCCAAGCATTTCAGGGGGGATATTAGCATCTGGGTAAGTCATATCAGTATCATTAGTCTCGGAAGGGTAAACCATGTCATCTTGGTTTGGAACTGGAGGATAAACCATATTGTCATGGCTGGGTTCTGCAGGATAGATCATGTCTGAGGGAATGTCAGGCATAAGCTCTGATGGACCTTTTGAGGGAAAAAAAGAAGACAAAAACGTAAATAAACAGACGTAACTTAACATACATGTCTCGACAGGGACAAATTGTATTGGCATGGATAGAGAGGATGAAATCATTCGTCCCACGTTTTAAGATTAACATTAGACTGATTTAGACTGCAAATATGCTTCTGCCATCAAGTACATCTGCATATAATCAGCGAGTCCGTCACAAAGATAATGTGATACTACAATGGCATTCATTTGTCCCTGTGAGATTAGAAAAAAAGAGGATTTACAAAATAAAAAAAAGGAAAAAAAAATCAACAAAAGTAAACAAATTTCAGCAGGATATGCTGAATAACAGAGGGAAAACCAACATTGGAATAAATCAAAACTAACATCGGAATAAATAAAGGAAAACAACACTGGACTGAATCAAAGAAAACCAAAGTTGGAATAGATTAAATGTAATACCAAATTGCCAGTCATGAAAGGAAAATGCAGCATATTGCATGCAAAACTTAATCTTCACGAGAAAAGAATCTTAACAAGGAATGTAAGCAATAACTTCAATGTACTCATGACTGCAGAATCATGCAAGTATCTATTCAAAGCATTAAATAATGAAAGGAATAAGCGGTGTCCGTGTGCATGGTTGAGGACATACAAGAAAATAATAATTGTATATATGATGAATGGAGGAAGCTTATTGTGAAATTTAATATATACTAATTATTTGCGTTTTTCTGTTTAGATGTCCTGTATCTGTGTAGTAAATAAAAGAAAGAGAAATACAAGAAAACACATTGAAATAACAGAGGCTTTTTCGCTAGGTTACTTCTTCTGGATAACGGAGCAAAAAAGCCTTTGGCATATTCGTGTATTTTCTTGCTCATCCTCTTCGTTGTCTTTACTGTTTTTTGAGAAAGAATCCTTTACGCGTATGTGTGTGTGTGTGTGTGTGTGTGTGTGTGTGTGTGTGTGTGTGTGTGTGTGTGTGTGTGTGTGTGTGTGTGTGTGTGTGAGTTTGAGTGAGTGTGCGGTTGAGTATGTATTTGATTGTGATTATGTGTGTGTGTAAGTCTGAATGAGTGTGCGTTTGAGTATGTGTGTGATTGTGAGTATGCGTATGAGTGAGTGTGAGTTTGAGTGTATGTGTGGGAGTGTCTGTGTCTGTGCCTGTCTATGCCTGTGTCTGTATCTATTAAAAGCATTGCTAGTTATTACGTTTGCAGGTTTAGATAAGCTGAGGACAGGATTATTTTTACCTTAACTTGACGTGCTTGGGAATGGTACCATGAAAGTGATTATCTTCGAAAAACATGGTGTAAGGATGAGGAATAAGCTATTGGGCTTATTATAGACTATATGATAATCAAAATCATTCTATTTCATAAGGCGTTCTCTAAAGTAATAATCTAAATCTTATTTTCTTTTCAAAAAATGCCTCAATATCATGTAAGTTAAGAATAGCTATAGTTGGCATCAGTTACAAAAAAAATCTAGCATTATATCACGTTATTATCATTAAATATCAGGAATCTTAGTTAACTGCCTGACGTTCCTCTAATCTAAAAAGACTATCAGGGAGACTGAGAAAGCTGCAGGACGCGGGCGGGGCATTTCTCGGTCAGGGCATAGGGCATTCCTTAGCCTTACCTTGGGGCACAACGCCGGCGACGATGGGCACGGCCTCACCCCCCTCCATGTGGATTCCGGCGACGATGGGCACAGCTTCGCCCTGTGGAGGAGGCGGGTACGTGTCAGGGACAGCCAGGGGTGGGATCCGGTCGCTTGTCAAAGTCTTTGCATAAGATATTGCATTAAACTATTTCGCATGCATTATGTCGTATGTTTCATTATCACTGCAAGCCAAGCCAGCATAGAAGATGTAAATAAAGTCTTGAGTTGCTTAGTTCTTTCGAAGTTAAAGAGCTTAGCTGTGTTACCAGCTCTATCAGCGAAAAGACAGCATTATATATAAAACTAATAGTAACCGATACTCTACGTGGTTAGATTACAATATCGGCTGCTGAACTGTACTTCTACAATAAACTAAAAATAAAAAGTAAAGAACTGACTACGTTATTGAATATAAGAGTAGAAATTTTCGTTAGTTTAGCTACTATTGACGTACTAGAAAGAAAGAGTAAAGAAGTGAGGCGGGAAAGTTCCTCTGTTATTTTTTCTTATAGAATGTGTGTATAGTTTCTCCTGTAGTCCTCACCCCAATGTCCGATTGCGCAATCCTGTTGTCACGTGACTCTCTTTATCAGCATCGGCGTTTAATATGTTTTCTGTGTTGTCCTTTTTCTTAAGTGACAGGATCACCACCTATTATTTCCGCCATGCATTGTGCATATCATAAAAAAAAAATCGAATGCTCTCAAAAATCAACTAAACCGTAGATTGTCCTCGCTCAAACTGTCGCATGGCTAAAGTAACCGATAAGAGTCGTGACAGTGTTCGCTTGTTTTGTTCTTTTCCACCTTCGAAGGCCCGAGGGAAGCCCGAGAGCTCCCCGGCGAAGTTCCCTACCTGAGCAAAGCCTCCCTGGACCACCTTGCGGGTTACAGTGGAGGAGCTGCTGCTGCTGGCGCTCCTGCTCCTGCTTTCCTCCACACGCTCTACCCGTGTTACAGTCCTGAACTCCTGAACGCTGCTGCTGCTGGAGGACTGCTGGGTAATGATCTTTGTGCTCGTTTCCTGCTGACTGCCGCCCTGAATGGTCACGTGCTGGGTTGTCACCTGCTGACTTCCTTGCTGTGCAACCTGAGTGATACCCCGAGGCTGAGACATTACCCTCCAGCGGCCGCCGAAGTGTGTTTGTTGTCGCGGGTAAAGGCTTAGTCTGCGTCTTGCTTGTCTCATGGAATATGCGAAGAGCCACGCACAGATCGTGTGTGTGTGTGTGTGTGTGTGTGTGTGTGTGTGTGTGTGTGTGTGTGTGTGTGTGTGTGTGTGTGTGCGTGTGTGTGTGCGTGTGTGTGTGTGTGTGTGTGTTGTGTTTGTGTTTGTGTGTGTGTGTGTGTGTGTGTGTGCGTGTGTGTGTGTGTGTGTGTGTGTGTGTGTGTGTGTGTGTGTGTGTGTGTGTGTGTGTGTGTGTGTGTGTGTGTGTGTCTGTGTGTGTGTGTACAGGCATATGTCTAATTATGTATGTATATCAAATATAAGCATCAGCAAGTGCTAAGATATGTAATGTAGCTGCATTTCCGACGGAGGGAAAATACATTATTGGATCTGTGCTGTGGCGTCCGTGACTGTCAGCTGGTACTGTTTGTCGTGTGTGAAGATATTATTTTCCCCTTTGAAGTTACTGAGATTGCATGCATTATACTTGTTACTGAGACTACGTTTGCCACTGTACTAATTACAACTAGAATTAATTTGTCTACTTTATCCTCTGCTCTGTTAATTGGCTTTTGAATAGGTGGCCAAGTTGTGCAACGCAGTCTTGTAATAACAAATTGCAGAGAGCAGCGAGATGATTATTATATGTGGCGATGTATGTTATTGCAGCTGAACAGAATTTGAAAGTTAATGAAATATACAAAGCATATAATCAGATATGAAATATGTCGAAGCATAAAATAAAAAAAAAAACTGCAGCAAAGCAAAAGGTTAAATATTACATATACTGAATATATTGCGTCCAAATAGAACCTCAACAAATAATTATATCAAAGCACATGCTTAAATATGAATTACATAGAGGCATAAGCTTATATATCAAATATGTCAAAGTATGAGATTGAATATAGAATATATTATAGCGTAAGCTTAAGCATGAGACATGAGATTAAATGTACCAGAGCATAAGCTTAAGAGTAGATTAAGGCTTGAATATGAAGTTTAAATCATAAATGTGATCATATCATATGTGTTTCAAAGAATATAAAGCCAGAATTAGAAGAGTAAGTAGCGCGTGATATTATTTGTTGGCGTTGGCGTTACTTGCGTGTTCAGAAAGTATCAGGTATTAGTGTAGATAAAGAGCCTTTACCATTGTGGATATTGTGAGTGTACAAAGTTGGAGGTGTGAGTTATCATCAGAATAAAAGCTTCATTTGATATCAAGAGTACTATGAGGACTTATAAGCATCTGCAGATATCCACATGTATTACAAAATAAGCTAAAGAAATTACTGGAGATATTAATCAGACTGAAAAGACAAAGAGAGAAGAATCCTTTTTTGAGAAATATTTACGTTGATCTTCATCATCAGTCTGCAGAGTGAAGAGAAAGGGTTAATAGCAAATTAGTCTCACCGAGTCAAAGCCACGAGGAATGGGCATGCCAGCGCTGATAGGCATAGGCTTAGGCGGCTCGATCTTTGAATGCTGTACCTGTGCCCCGATGGAGGGAGCGGTGGACGGGGGTGGGCCATGGGGCTGGTTGGGGTTGTTCACGTTAGGGATCGGGGGCACCCAGTTCTTGGGTCCCTTGGCCCCGAAACCGAACTGCCTGATGTCGGTCCTGAGGGAGAAGAGAGCGATTGGTCTTTTCTGTGACTTCCAACTCGTATGGATTGTTTCAAAGACAAAGAACCGAGGGACTTACGGGATGGGCACGCCATCTTCACTGCCGATGGAGACAAGAGCAGGCACATGGCCGTATCCGTAACCCTTAGGTCCGTGGCGCTTAGCATAGCACAGCTTGCAGTAGATCTCGCCGTCGGGGGCGTCGCAAGACAGCATAGAGTCCAGAGGGCGATGGCACTCGCAGCAGTTGTAGCAGCGTTTGTGCCATTCCTGAAACAGAAACCATGACTCGCATTTATTTCCATAGGCATCCATAAATATTTAGTTTGTTTATGTATTACTACTAATCAGTAATTTGCATGTGCAAAAACTAAATCCTTTTTGATTAGTCGAGGGAACAGACCTTGCCCCTGCAGGGCATGGATTCAGCCTGGAACACGGCGCCTCCGCAGCGGGGGCAGCGAGACTGGCCTTCCTTGGCCGGGATCTTAGTCACGTCGAGCACCGTAAAGGCGGGGGCCCTGGAGATGGGGGGGGCCTCGGGGTCGAAGATCTCGTCTTCGCCGCTGTGCGGGGTAGTGAAGGGATTTTAAAACGTTTTCTATTTTAGGAACAGACGTGGCTACAGGTTACTGAGAGTATTACCGTTATATAATGCAAGAGGTAAATGTAAAACAATTTTTAAAAGATGCCGTTTACTCTCGCTATTTACACCCAATCGTTCTACAATAAAAGAACTGTGGTATACGGTAAATAAGCAGCAGAATATGTAAACTGTAGAAGAGAGACCGATACTTACGCAATGTTCTCCGGCACAAGGACGCCACCAGCACCAGCGGCGAAGCCGTAGCCCTTGGGGCCGAACCTCTTGGCGTAGCAAAGCTTGCAGTAGATCTCTCCGTCAGGGCCGTCGCAGAACACCATGGCATCCAGGGGGCGGGTGCAGTCCAGGCAGTTGTAGCAGCGCTTGTGCCACTTCTGTTCGTGGAGAAGGTCATATTGGGTCAAGTATCTGGCCGTTTTGAAAGCAAGTGGATGGCTGATAATTATCTTTATTATGAGTCGCATATTTGTTTCCAATTATGATTTTCAGATATAGACATGTACTAAACGGAACGATGTAATAATAAGTCTGGAAACTCTGTGTGGACAATAGATAACGGGGGTCTAATTTTTACTCCAGAGAAAAAATATTACTAATAATTTCTAATCTGCAGAAAGTACCAGATTACAAAAAATGTTAAATAAATAGAGAAGAATTTCCTTGATGCACAACTTTACTTAGTTGTAGTCCTGATTGGAAGGCTTGCCAGAGACGCCATGTAAATAATGCAACTAGGAAAGATTTTTCCTTCGTGCTTCATTCAAGTGAATGTGAGCGAAGATATAGAAATCCAAAGTAGATATAGTAGGTGTTGGTACGACTGATTTTAGAAATATCAGCTTATTACTGTTATATGAATAACTTTTCGACGGTAAAAACGAGATTTTAAAAGTAACGCATGCGAGAGATATAACTAATGTTATAGAAATAGAGAGACCGCCTCGTTATCCATCGTTCCCTCGTTATTCAGTAACACCGTTTTTCTTGTTTTTTTGGTATTGCGATACCACTCAATTAAACCGGTAGTTTAAAAGTGGCTGGCGTAGGCAAGAGCAACACAGCCCATTCTTAAACTAGAAACATGTTTTTCATGTTTAATTAAGTAACTAGAAACATCGCTCTTTGTTCGTGAACTCAAAGGTAAATTGCATGTTTGTTTGTTTCTAACCCTCCGTTACCCAGCTTAAATATATCCATGCTGAAAACGCAAGAGAACTGCAGGGGGATGAGTGAGAGGGAAAATAAAGATCCTTCTTCCGTGTCGTGAGAGAGAGAGAGAGAGAGAGAGACAGAGATAGAGACAGAGACAGAGACAGAGATAGAGATAGAGATAGAGACAGAGACAGAGACAGAGACAGAGATAGAGACAGAGACAGAGACAGAGACAGAGACAGAGACAGAGACAGAGACAGACAGAGAGAGGAGAGAGGAGAGAAGGGCCGCCGTACCTTTCCGCGGGACAGCCTCTCCTCGGCCGTGAAGACCTTGCCGCCGCAGCGAGGGCAGCCTTCGCCGGGCGCCGCGGGGATGGAGGTGGTGTCGATGGCAGCCGAGGCGGGGTTGACGCCGGGCATCTGTGTCCCGCCGCCGCTGAGCGCGAGGGAAAGGAGGATGTTTAGTGCGCTCGGAATGAATGCTTATTAATAGTGTCCTCTACTTGTATCATTTGTGAATGTAAAGATGTTTAGTGCGGTCGGAATGAATGCTTGTTTGATATTAATAGCTTCCTCTACTTGTATCATTTGTGACTGTGGAGGTAGACACCACCCAATACTTAGGTATAAACGCATAGTGTTACATACCATATTACTTACAAATGATTCGACAGATGTTCTATGTATCTACCTAATTATGTTTCTTTTTAACTATCTATCTACGTATCTATCTGTATAACTTTATATATATATATATATATATATATATATATATATATATATATATATATATATATACATGCATCTATATATGTATGTACATAGTGTGTGTGTGTGTCTATCTATCTATCTATCTATCTATATATATATATATATATATATATATATATATATATATATATATATATATATATATATATATATATATAATTTCACATATATATATACATATATCTATACATACATATATGAATATATATATATATATATATATATATGTGTGTGTGTGTGTGTGTGTGTGTGTGTGTGTGTGTGTGTGTGTGTGTGTGTGTGTGTCTAAGGATAAGTCCGATATGCGAAACTGAGCTTCGCCCGGGCTATGAGAGGAGCCAGGCCTGTGCCGACTAATGTCGACTCGCCAACAGTGTGTCAGCAGGTGCTGACTCGGGTGAGCGTAGTCCTTACCCACCGTGGTGCCCAGCCACAGCAGTAACCTCTAGGCCTGGGCGGGGCGCGAACCGCCGGCCCCTCGGATGAGAGGCCGACACGTTACCACTGTACTAGCCCGGAGGCTAATGTGTAAGTATGTATATGTTTTTATATGTACAAACATCAGAAGAGAGAGGGAGAAAGAGGCAGTGCAGAAGTACTCACGGGATGTTCTCGGCGACCAGGACGCCACCGCTGCCAGCGGCGAAGCCATAACCCTTGGGGCCGTACTTCTTGGCGTAGCACAGCTTGCAATAGATCTCGCCGTCGGGGGCGTCGCAGCCCACCACGGAGTCGAGTGGGCGGTGGCAGTGGAGGCAGTTGTAGCAGCGCTTGTGGAAGCTGCGGTTGCGGACGTGGACCTCCTCAGCCATGAAGACCTTGCCGCCGCAGCGCGGGCAGCCCTTGCCCTCCTCGGCCTTGATCTTGGAGGTGTCGATGCGGCCCAGGTCAGCGCGCTTCTTCTTGGTGTCTTCTTCGCCGCCGCTGCGAGAGAAGGGCGGTTAGCGTCGCGCGGAGGAGGGCACCCCGGGGCTGAGTGCCCAAATTGTACAGATAAACAGGTCAATTCCGCACGTGCAAATCTCCAATACTCACGCAATGTTCTCAGCGACCAGGACGCCGCCGCCGCCAGCAGCGAAGCCATAACCCTTGGGGCCGTACTTCTTGGCGTAGCAGAGCTTGCAGTACACCTCGCCGTCGGGGGCGTCGCAGCCCGTCATGGAGTCCAGAGGGCGGTGGCACAGACAGCAGTTGTAGCAGCGCTTGTGGAAAGGCTGAAAAGAAAGGCATTGATATAGTGATCTACATGTCACTGACATACAGATGCCTGACAATATGCACCAAAATGATCTGCACATTAACCGAATGATGGCTGACATTCCTGTGACGAATACTCACTCTTCCGCGGGCGTTGATCTCCTCAGCCATGAAGACCTTGCCGCCGCAGCGAGGGCAGCCCTTGCCATCCTCGGCCCTGATCTTGCTCACGTCCAGCACCGCGGATCCAGGGTTCACGCCGGGCATGGATTCACCGCCGCTGAATGAAACCGGAAGTCAGTGATTTACACTTAGCAAAGCAGGGAAAGAGAGAGCATACAAGTCGACAGCGAGCGGCAAACAAAGTGCATAATTCTACTACTCACGGAATGTTCTCGGCAGTGAGCACACCGCCACCGCCGGCAGCGAAGCCGTAGCCCTTGGGGCCGTACTTCTTGGCGTAGCAAAGCTTGCAGTAGATCTCGCCGTCGGGGGCGTCGCAGTGCACCATGGAGTCCAGGGGGCGCTTGCACTGGCGGCACTTGAAGCACTTCTTGTGGAATGGCTGGAAGCAAACCGAGACTCAGGTCAGGCACCGCGGCCTTTCGGTTCATCATGAGGGATACACGCAATTTCGAGCACAGACGCTTATCTATAGTCAGTCTATCAATCTATCATTATATATATGCATATATATATATATATATATATATATATATATATATATATATATATATATATATATATATATATACATAAATATGTGTGTGTATATATGTATATATATATATATATATATATATATATATATATATATATATATATGTGTGTGTGTGTGTGTGTGTGTGTGTGTGTGTGTGTGTGTGTGTAAATATATATATATATATATATATATATATATATATATATATATATATATATATATATATTATATATATATATATATATATATATATATATATATATAGAGAGAGAGAGAGAGAGAGAGAGAGAGAGAGAGAGAAAGATAATATGTGTGTGTGTGTGTGTGTGTGTGTGTGTGTGTGTGTGTGTGTGTGTGTGTGTGTGTGTGTGTGTGTGTGTGTGTGTGTGTGTGTGTGTGTGTGTGTGTGTGTGTATTGGCCACTTACCCTTCCTTTGGCCATCATGAGCTCTGCCATGAACACTCGGCCGCCGCAGCGAGGACAAGGGGTCTCACCCTCGTGTGCGGGAATAATGGCGTCTGGGTTGCCATGGG